GATGAGGGTATTTATGTCAATTTTTAAAATAATAATATATGTTAATCAATTTAAATAACCGTTTGATTATTTGTTTCCTTAATTATCTCATAGATAATTACGGGTGGTATTTTTTTTACCCAATTGTTTTTCTTCTAAGATTTGTTCGTCGCATTCAACATATGTTGGGTATAGCTAATCTCACTAGTCCGATGCGAGAGATGCTGGAGTTGAACCTATTTGCCGACAATGAACCCCATCATCATTTTGTGAAGCTGCGATCCCCAATCGACATCTCCAGCAATTAACATGGTTGGTCCCCTCTCCGTTCTACAACACCATAGGAACGACCTCCTCCCCTTCCCCATCCCTGTCGATCTTTCCCCCATATTTGCTCCATCTCTTTTGTCTATACCCATCTCGCCTCCTTTTGATTTTTTAACTCAACGCAAACAACGTTCAAGCGATGTGTTTACACAAGGCTTGAATCTCACATGAAAAATATAAACAAATAAACATAGGGGCTTCGATTGGAATAAAATCGAAACCCAAGATAGAAGGTGGGATGGATGTGAAATAGGTAATTGTTCACCAAATTATTGACATCGCATCGAACATGTGAATTTCTTTTCTTCTAAAATTTGTTAATCGCATTCAACATGTGAAATTGGAAATTGTTAATGGTGAACACAATAAACTTCACTTCCAAAAATAACAAACATGAAGAAATCACAAAACAAATTCTTGATCATGTTGTTCATCATTGGACTTTTTAAATGTTCATGCGTGAACTTTACAATTCTTTACTAATGAACATATTAAAATCCATAATTAACAAATATTTTTTAACAAACAACAAAATAAAACAAAAAGGTATTGCCACTATAATCGGAATTAATTCGAATAAAGATGAAGAAATCCTAAAGAAAAAGTTATCAAAAGAGATTGTTTTAGGATTGTCGTAAGGTATCGTAAGATATGTTCATATATGAACACACATATACACACATCAATGAATATAAGAGATTGACATTGAACATTCATATCCTGAATTTGTGATACCGTGATTTCGGGTCCTGATAATCAGGATATGGATTCGATTTCCTAATTTGACTCTATAAATCATTTTACTATTATAACCTTGTTCATATATGAAAGTTATCTATAGCACCTGCTCACTCCTAAAATTTAATTTAAAACATTCAATTATTTTAAGTCGTTGATTGAAATTGTGGATGACTGAGATTGGTTAACAAAGTTAACACTAATCTTTTAGTTAACAAAAGAAGGGGACAGACACAGACACGGATAGGTGCTTCGTCCCAAACCTTCCTGTATCATTGGCCTCCATCTTTGGCTTCTAAAGCTCACTATTGAACTTCTAATTGAAATTTGTTTTAGTATGGTAAAATAATGATGACGTTTTTTTATCATATTAATATGACTCAATGATTATCATGTATTTGAACACGTGTGTGTGTGTATATATATATATAACAATTAGTTATTAGTTGGTTTTATGGAATTCAAAACTTTAAAAATTATGTGTATACAGTAATTACTTATAAATTTGAAATTTAAAGGATTAAGCATTACTAAAGTAAGGTGAACACAACAACTGAGCAATAACTTAGCAGATACATAATAGACAATTTAATAACTAATTGAAAAGCCTCTAAGTAAATTCCAAACATCACTATACTTCCTTTTACTTAATTCTGTTTTTCTCTGAAGGGTGTCCCAAACTATATTTAATATCTTATTCTTGATAACATGCTTCTAAAATTACTGTTATGCTATTTATAACATTTAAATACACACATCATATTAGCCATATAACTGACTGGATATGAATCACACACATTCAAAATCAACAGCTGGCTTTAAAAGCACGTTTATAAAAATTAAATAAAAATATATACTTATGGCATCCTTTTCGAATTTTATATATATCATTATTTTAAGCGATTACTAATTTTCATTTTGATTCCAAACAGTATTTATTTGTTTAAGACATTTAATTCCAATAATTTTGTTTTATAATTAGTCATGCAATCACATGTAGTAAATAAATCGAATTATTTTATTGTTTTTTACAAGAATTTGTTTATTATTATTATTTAAAAATTCTAAAAAAGTTATATTCGTTTCATATCATTTTTCAGATATTCTCTTTTTGATTGGGTTCTTATTTTTCATTTTGTGTATTTAATTTTTTTATAACTAGAAGCGTACTCGCGCAATGCAGCGAGATAAATCGTGATTTTAATATTTTATTTTATTTTTTATCTCAGTCGATGTTATAATATGACTTTATGTGATTTTGAGAAAGCGATGATGTTTTTATTTTTGAATAAAATATATGTTTGAAGATATCATAAAAATTTGACAAAAATATATTGATATTAGTATCAAATTAACTATTTGAAATTCCTCATTTTTTTGTGTAATTTTTTAATACAATTTTTTTTATAATTTAATTTATGTACAATAACGAAATAATTTATATTTGGTTTGATAATATAATTTTTTTTATAAAGATAATAATTATTTATTTTGTTGGAACTCGATAATTATTCTAATTATATTTTAGATTTTTTATATTTTAAAATGAGATGTTCATCCTCTATTTGATTATGTTTATCCGCAGTTATTTATACGAATTCAAATATCGAGCTTTAATAAGTTGTACTTATGTATAATTACTTGTAATCTTCAATTTTAAGTAATATGCATCAATATACAATACTTTATGCATAACAAAAATATATCAATATTCGTATCAAATTAACTATTTAAAATTCCTCATTTTTTGTGTAATTTTTTAATTCAATTTTTTATTATAATTTAATTTAGGTACAATAACGAAGTAATTTATATTTGGTTTAATAATATAATTTTCTTATGAAGATAATAATTAATTATTTTGTTAGAACTCAATAATTATCTTAATTATATTTTAGATTTTTTATATTTTAAAATAAGATGTTTATCCTCTATTTGATTATATTTATCGCAATTAGTTAGAATTCAAAAATCGAGCTTTGATAAGTTGTACTTTTTGCATAATTTACTTGTAATCTTGAATTTTAAGTAAACATTGGTTTTATGTGGTTTTGAGAAAGTGGTAATATTTTTATATTTGAATAAAATATAAATTTAAAAATATCATAAAATTTTGAAAAAAAAATATCGATATCAGTATTAAATTAATCTTTTTAAAAGTTCTTGTGTTTTTGTGTAATTTCCTTAATTAAATTTTGTTAGTTATCAATGATTATCATAATTAAATTATAGATTTTTTATATTTAAAATGAGATATTTATCCAATATTTGATTATGTTTATCTGCAGTTAGTTAGACGAATTCAAGTATGAAGCTTTAATAAGTTGTACTTATGCATAATTTACTTGTAATATTGAATTTTAAGTAGTATGTATCAATAAACAGTAATTCATGCATAAAAATTGGTTTTTAAGAGTTTTTGTCATTGTTTTGTAATATAGTACTATATTTTTTGATATATAATTTGATTTAAGTTAATAATAAAATAATTTATTTTTGGTTTAATATTATAAATTTTATAAAGATAATAATTAAGTATTCTGTTAGAATTTAATGATTATACTTATATTTTAGATTTTTTATAATTAAAATGAGATGTTTATCCTGTATTTGATTGTGTTTATCTGCAGTTAGTTACACGAATTCAGATATGTGATGAAATCGGATAGGGATGAACGGGTTTAAGAGTTTTTAAGAGTTTTAAGAGTTTTAGCCAAATATTTTATAAGATAGTATAGATAATAAATAATTACTGTTTATTTTTTGTAATTAAAATAATAAAAATAATTTTTTTAATTTATTATAATCGATTAGTTAACATGTTGGTTAACCGCCTTTTAAAACACGAAAAAAAAAATTATTGGCTATCTTGGTCTTCGCCAAACTAAAGTATGCAATAATTGCCTTTTATATTTTCTCATATTATATTTGACAAATAGATATTCAGTAATAGTTAAACTCATAAAATTGATAATCAATATTTCAATAAATTGTAATAAATAGATGTTTGTTTTATTTTTAGTTTCTCGGATTATATTTGACAAATAAAATTTTCATTTATCTGTATCACATACATTGGTTGGATTAAAACACGAGATATCGTGGAAATTCAAAATTTTATACAAGTAAAAATTTAAAACTATAATAATTGGTCAAAGAAAACTTTGATAATTCGTACCAGTAAATGATTCTATGTGCATTACAATATAAAATTGCAAAACGACTATCGTACTTAAACTAGTTTGTTCAAATATCATTTGTCTTTTTATAGTAGTACGATTTTGTCCCAATGAATATTTTTGTTTAAAGTTTTTCGAAAAATACATAATACTTGTAAACAACTTAAAACAAGATTTTGATTATACATATGTAATTATCAATAAGAGAAATTATTAGCGAACTTCAATTTCAGTTGTTAGAAAGGGTGTACAAACAATTATAAATAACTAGTTTTTTTTAATTATTATTTAATAGAAATATTTTTTGGAAAAAAATGAAGATCTAAAAAATAAAATTTTAAAAGACTTTTAAGTAAAAATTTTATAACAATTAAAAATTCATAAAAAGAAATAAAATATATTTGTTTTAGAATATTTTGTGAAGTCCACTTATTTTTCCAACCACCATCCATCACCTCCAAAGCTTACTGTCAACCTCTTTTCATTTCCACAAAAGCCCTAATTTCAAACCTTTTTTTTGGATGTTTGCACCATCATTTATCCATACCTCCCTCTTTCTCTCTCTAGTACTTGAGTTGTATGCCCTTTGTAGGTAAAAATAGGGAAAAATAACTGCTCATTTCTGCCCCGATCTCTTTCTGAATTACAAAACTACAAAAACCCAATCCAACTTACTACACTCTGGTCTTCATTGTTGTCTGGGGTCTTTCAAGATTCATTTCATTATAAATCTTGAAGTTTTTGTCTACACCCACATGCCATCTTCTTCATCTTCATCTTCATCTTTTACCACTTCAAGAATCTTGTTGAAACCCTAGAAAGCCACCAACATCCACAATTAGGGTTTGTTGTTTCTTGGATATTTACTGAAATCCCGGAACTGGATTCACTAGATCTCTCTTTTCTGTGGTTATCGCATATCAAAATGGAAAAGTATCACTCCTTTACCATGGATGTTCCTCCAGCACAAGAAGTCGACTCGATCATCACCACAAACCTTAACGCAGGTATGTTGAGCCCAACATCCTCTTCGTCTTCCTCGACTTCTTCTCCGGCCACCACTCTCAGCCGCTACGAGAACCAAAAACGCCGTGACTGGAACACCTTCGGGCAGTACCTCCGGAACCACCGTCCGCCGCTCACTCTTTCCCGGTGCAGCGGTGCACATGTTCTTGAATTCCTCAGGTACCTTGACCAGTTTGGCAAGACAAAAGTCCACACCCAACTTTGTCCTTTCTTCGGCCACCCCAATCCACCAGCTCCATGCCCCTGCCCCCTCCGCCAGGCATGGGGCAGCCTTGATGCCCTCATTGGCCGTCTCCGGGCAGCCTATGAGGAAAACGGAGGGATGCCTGAGACCAACCCATTTGGAGCTCGGGCTGTCAGGCTGTATTTACGTGAAGTTAGGGATTCTCAAGCTAAAGCAAGAGGGATCAGCTACGAGAAGAAGAAGAGAAAGCGGCCGCCGCAGCTGCCACAGTCACAAACACCACCACCACCACCGCCACCGCCTCTTTGTTGATCAAGTTAGCCACTTTCTGGTCATAATTGAATTCTACTCAATTATATTCCCATAGTCAAATTAATGGGTATATATATTTTAACTCAAAATCTCTCAATTTCTTGAATTTTATTCGCCTCAACTATCATTACTATCATATTGCTTTTGCTGTCATTATTTATGATTCAAATAAAATCACTCACTGTTGATGACCCCCAAAACATGAGAAAAGAAAGGGAAAGAAGCAGTGATCCAGTGGTAGTTTAATTGCTGCTACTGGCTCTAAAATTAAATAGCCTTCTAGATCATCACACATCGATCTGATGGACCTCGTTTTGTAATGTAAGCAGTAATAGTAATTAATTGAAGTGTAAGTTTGTGATTTTTAAGAATTTCTTCTAACGTTTGTGGTTTTTGGTTCTGATATGTACCAGGAATTCTGTCTATGACACCCTTAATTAGCAGAAAAAAGAAATACGAAATATAATCTGTATATAATGTTATTTTATTGGTTGCACAAGAATCAAAGCTTTATTTGGTTCTGTAAATAGGTTACAGATATTGCATGAACTTTTAAACAATTTATGTGTTAAATATATAAAATACCATTTACTAATTAAGCACTAACCAATCTTGTTCATAATGTTGATGACAGTGTGTAGGTAATATTAATAGAAAACTTTGTGAAAAGTTGTGTAGAGGAGGACATATATGTACTTGTAAAGAGTCCTGTTGTCATTTGAAATAAATCATACAGGTTTCTTGTGTCATGCATATCACTAGCTATGATCATCATGTGACATAACGTTTAAATAATGTTGTCCCATATATCGTCATTCGAAATCAATCATATTGGTTTTTTTGTGTCTAGTACGATAATGTGATATATAATCAATGCTTAAAATGTTGTCGTCCTTTTACCAATTAACTAGCTCTTTTGAATTCATTCTAACCAATACATGGTAAAATCATATGTTTGTTTAGATTTTAGGAGGAATTTTGATAAGAGTTCATATAAATTATAGATGTCTTCTTCTATCTTCTTAGTGTATTAGTATGAAATAACATGTTAATTAATGTACCATGTCTCCTTGTAGCTATTCATTTCAATTTTACAAACCAAATTATTACTCAAGCAACTATTTTTTTTGTTAACCATATGGATATTCGTGTCAGTTTGCCTGCACCTTAAATATAGAGAATAAACATGAAAATCCCTAGTTATTTTGCATGATTTAAATCGGTGACCTCTGAGGAGGATCCCAAAAGCCCAAGTTTGATTGCCAATTGAACTAAGCTCATGCAACTTACAATCACAATCCATAAATTTTGATTTATATTTGATTAGGGTGATATTTCATGATTCTTTTCCTTTTGGATCATTTAAATCAACTTTCTCAGGGTTATGAGTATGAGTTGATGAATATTATGAGAAGCATAATTAACCACTAGTATCGGTTTCAGATATTGATAGGTTTTTTTTTTTTACAATTTGTAGCGTAACAGAAGAAAAAAATAACAATTAGGTGTTAACTAACAACCTTTAGATATCAAAATTAATAAACCCTAACTCGAACAACTAACAAAAGTTTAACAAAACGGACACTAACTCGTAACAAACCAAAACCCTAATCCTAACAATTAGCGATTATATATTAAGTAACAATGTCTAATCATAACAATTAACAATTAGTATAGAAAGATACTAACAAGGAAACTAAGCTAAATCTTTGTAGGAGCAAATCTTGTTTTTATTAAGGGTCCAAATAATATATATTTATAAAAACTAAAATTTATAATACAAAAAACCAAATGGGTTGAAAATGCTCATGGTAACGAAGGTGTGAACTTAAGATTGTTGAGTCATTTAAATTAAATAATATTAGAAGGATACTCGTACAATACAGTGAGATACATTTCGATTTTAGTATTTTGTTTTATTCTTTGTTCCTGTCGATATAATACGGTTTTTTTTATTAACCTGGATATCCAACCCGCTATGCGAGCTGACTAATCTTAGGGCGACCACCTACTTTGCAGATAGCCCGGAGTCACCACATTTGAACCTCCGTGGCCACAAGAGGATTTTTATTCCTCCTTGGATTTGAACCTGGGACCTCCGGGTACTTTTCACCTCTGGAGTCAAGCTCAAACCAATCAGGCACCACCCTTGTGGTTATAATACGGTTATATGATTTTGAGAAAACAATAATATTTTTATTTTGAATAAAATATAAATTTGAATATATCATAAAACTTTGAAAAAAAAATATCAATATTAATATCTAATTAACTATTCAAAAATTCTCCTTTTTTGTATAATTTTTTTGATTCAAATTTTTATTATAATTTAATTTATATTTAATAGTAAAGTAATTTATTTTTGATTTAATAATATAATTCTTTATAAGGATGATAATTAACTATTATGTTGGAAGTTAATGATTATCCTAATTATATTTTAGAGTTTTTATATTTAAAATGAAATGTTTATCTACAGTTGGTTGCAGAATTCAAAAATATAGTTTTAATAAGTTGTACTTATATATAATTACTTGTAATCTTGAATTTTAGATGATATGCATTAATTAACAGTACTTCATGCATAAAAAAATGTTTTTAAGAATTTTTCTTAAATGCATTATAATATAACTAGAAGGGTACTCGCGCAATGCAACGATATATATATATATATATATATCTTGATTTCAATGTTTAATTTTATGTTTTTGATCTCTGTCGATGTTATAATACGAATTTATGTGATTTTGAGCAGACAATAATGTTTTTTTTAATAAAATATAAATTTGAAAATATTATAAATATTAAAAAAATTATAAAAGTTCTCATTTTTTTTTGTAATTTCTTTAATTCAACTTTTTTTAATTATAATTTAATTTAGGTTTAATGACGAACTAATTTATTTTTTGTTTAATAATGTAATTTTTATGAAAATAATAACCAAGTATTTTGTTAGAACTCAATAGTTATCCAAATTATATTTTAGATATATTAAAATGAGAATTTTATCATGTACTTGATTATATTTATCTACAGTTAATTACACGAATTCAAATATGAAGCTTAATAGATTGTACTTATGTATAATTACTTGTAATCTTGAATTTTAAGTAATATGTATCAATGAACAATACTTCATATATAAAAGATGGTTTTTAAGAATTTTTGTCAAATGTTTTATAATATAGTATAGATATAGATTTAAATAATTTAGCCTAGGTGACGTAAGCATATTTAGATGCGATTGGAATTCGCTTCGAGTACTATCCTAAAGATCTTACGTTTGGAACATACATGTATATTACTCGATGTCTAAAGTGATGTTTTAATACATACACAAACAAATGTTATAATTTAAAGGGGTGTTTGGATTGCTTATAAAAATAACTTATTGACTTATTTTGGTATGACACCGGAAATAAGCACTTTTGAGTGTTTGGATAAACAACTTATACCGGTGCCAAATCGATAATAAGAAGTTTTTGAAAAAATTAAAATATTTTAACTTTAAGAAGTTGATAAACACTTTTGTAGAAAAACATAAGTTGTTTCAAATAAGCAAATCTTAAACACCCCCTAAATATGATTTCTAAGAACATATGTGTGTGTATGTGTGTATATATATATATATATATACATATACAGGTGGAGGTTCAAACGACAACATCTCCATTTTACGAGAATGCAAGAACACCCTTATCGCATGTGATAATACACGTGAGAGAATCTGATGGTGTACGGACGACGTGTTCTGCTATTTAGGCCGTACCAAAAGTCGTCTGCGTTTATGATTTAGTATCACATATGATGGTCTTGATGGATTATATTATCTCATCAAAAACACCCTTATCACTATAAATCGACTAAAAATGTTGACATTCACAATTCCATGTACCTTTTATCACATGTGATAAAAACCCATATCATTATAGTTCTGACGATAACACAACCGATTTAGAAAAAAACTATGAAATATTATTGTTATCACACTATTATCGAACCTTCATCATCATCAACAGAACTATCCTCAGATAATTTCAAAATGAGATGTTTATCAGATGTGATAAACATCAAAATTTTCAATTACTAACCTACAACATTCAAATCCTCCATTCTAGGTTGAATTTTTTTTGGATATTATGAATCGATGGGAAGAAAAGGATAGCAGAAAGTGAAAAAGAAGAAAGCGATACAGTGAACGTGATCAATCCCAACAAAAGAGGATGAGATAATTCCAATTAATTAAAATAAAATAAAAATTATAAAAAAAATACCTAATTACACCTTATTAACTTATTTGTATTTAATATAATTTAAATTATTGATTAAGAAAGTTTAAGGTTATTAGGTTGTTCTCGTATTCTCGTAAATCACAAGGGTTCTCGTTTGAACCTCCACCTATCTATATATATATATATATATACAATATACATATACAAATATATACATATACATATACAAAAAAAAAATATATATATATATATATATGTGTGTGTGTGTGTAGGGTTGGGTTCACGTGAGACCAGCATGTTTTCGTGAGACCCATGAGACCACATTTTTACACGTAAACTTCACAGCAAAAAAAAACTTCACAGCTGTAATCTCAAACTCACCCATGAGTCATACTTTATATGGGGATTGATCAGGTGCATCTCGATGCATCTCATCTCGGTGCACCTGCATCCAAGGGTAAGATCTCTTCTTATGCTTATAACCTTACCTCTTATTCTCATTGGAACCCAACCATATATATATATATATATATATATATATATATATATATCATCTTAAAAAATAAGAATATATAAGAATGTGGGAACCATCTTAATGTCTTTGGATGAATCGTGCCCTTTGATCTCAAGGACATGAGGGACACAATTGTATAATTGTAATTAAGATGAATTTCTATGGCAATTTGGTACACAGACATGGAGGTTAACATATCTAAACCTCCATCACACAACTAGCTTAACATAGTTTAAATTGACATATATACACACATATATATATATATATATATATATATATATTATATTATAAAACATTTGACAAAAACTCTTAAAAACCATTTTTTATTATTGATGCATATTACTTAAAATTCAAGATTACAAGTAAATTATGCATAAGTACAACTTATTAAAGCTTCATTTTGAATTCGTGTAACTAAATGCGGATTAACATAATCAAATAGAGAATAAATATCTCATATTAAAATCTAAAAAATCTAAAATATAATTACGATAATTATCAAGTTCTAACAAAATAATTGATTATTATCTTTATAAGAAAAAAATTATGCATAAGTACAACTTATTAAAACTCCATGTTTGAATTCGTGTAACTAACTGCAGATAAACATAATCAAATA